ATACAAACAAAACTTTTAAGTAAAATATAGAGTATGTTCTAAATGAAGTATATGTTTGAGTCTGAGACTTAACTTCAAAAAATTTAAATAAAAAGTTAACAGTCTAAAATGTAATTAAGTTAAGTTAAAATTATTTAACTTTTCAACTTTTTAACTTAACTTTTAGCTTTTTAACTTGGCACTACCCAACCCTGGTTTTTTACAGCAGAACTGATGCACACTCAGTGCACATTCTGAATATAAAATTTCAAACTTTCGTAACTTTTAATTTAAAGAATAGAACTTAAGTATATACCTATATATTTAACAAATTTGTTTTATTCCACGCCAAGTATGGTAGTAACTATTTAATCTTTCTTTAAAATGTTATATCACACAAAATTGCATTATCTTACTCAACCCAAGAGTTATTAGAAAGAATTAAGGACGTGACAATACAAAATAAAAAAATTTTAATGAAATAAAGGTAATTATTCAGTTTAGCTACCGCACCTTAAAAGTCATTACAAAATTAGGCTTATTCGACGCGTTTTGCATGAAACGAAAGAATCTGGTAAAAATAGTGTCGCTCTGCCTTGTGAGCCGAGATATTCAGCGTTAAAGTTGACGACTATTGAGGTTAGGAAATCTGTCACTGTCGCGAAATACTGCGATGCAAGCATGCATTGCGGTTACCTTTTTCATGCTCTGTGACAATTCACTGCTTTAAAAACAACAATCCACTGCTTTAAAAATAATTCATTGTTTTAAAAACAACAATTCACTACCGTAATTTCATACAGCTATGGTCCTATGCCACAACTATGGTCCAAACACCTGCGCGTACGACAATCCCGATACGTAGATATAATACGTAGATATAATTGTAAAAATATTAATTAAATGTAAAAACACTAAATTATCTGTCATGTAGACCAGCGAGAACACAGAATAGCTTGTCATGATAACCGATGGTCGAGAAAGTTGGGAACTAACCTCGTTATCTGCAAACTTTCTCGACTATCGGTTATCATGACAAGCTATTCTGTGTTCTCGCTGGTCTACATGACAGATAATTTAGTGTTTTTACATTTAATTAATATTTTTACAATTATATCTACGTATTATATCTATGTATCGGGATTGTCGTACGCGCAGGTGTTTGGACCATAGTTGTGGCGTAGGACCATAATTGTATGAAATTACAGTATTTTAAAAACAATTCACTGCTGTAAAAACAACAATTCACTGCTTTAAAAACAATTTATGGCTGTTCTACAATGTGCTTTTTGTTTACTGTTTCTTACTGTTTGTCTCTTGCCTTTTTGATCAAAAAGGCAAGAGACAAACAGCAAGAAACAGGAAACAAAAAGCACATTGTAGAATAGCCATAATTGCCTTAAAAACAACAATACACTTTTAAACATGCAAATTTTCTTTGCATTAGCAGTAAATTTATATTTTTAAAGCAGTGAATTGTTGTTTTTAAAGCAGTGAATGGTTTTTAAAGCAGTGAATGGTTTTTAAAGCAGTGAATTGTTTTTAAAGCAGTGAATTGTTTTTAAAGTAGTGAATTGTCACAGAGCATGAAAAAAGTAACCGCAATGCATGCTTGCATCGCATTTCATTAACTTTAACGCTTAATATCTCGGCTCACAGGACAGAGCGACACTTTTTTGCCAGATTCTTTCGTTTCATGCAAAAACGCGTCGAATAAGCCTAATTTTATTGATTTTTGAGGTGCGGTAGCTAAACTGAATAATTACCGAAATAAAAAATACTTTATGCAAAAAAACTTGGCGCTGCTAAAAACCAAATTAGGAAAATAGGAAAAGCCATTGTGAGTTAAAATAACGCACGCAAGCACACATGCACACGTACGACACGCAAGCACATGCACACGTACGACACGCACACGCTCACATACAGTATTCCTTGATAACCACAGAGTGCATATGTGCGAGCGAATTATACTGCACGATTTCAATTATGTATAAAAAAAATATTGTACGTACAAATGAGTTATATAGTCGTGCGTATTAATATTAGATATATGTATATCAGATTTAGATTTAGTTTATTTGGTATTTAAATTTGTTTGCTCGAATAGAGTTGTACTCATGTAATCTTCATATGAAACAGTATAATTTGTTTTTACTCAATCTAACATTCAGATTAAATTACTGATTTTCCTAACGTGTTGAGCAGCACCAAGTTTTTTTGCATAAATTATTTTTTATTTCATTGAAATAAAATTTTTTTATTTTGTACTGTTACATCTTTAATTCTTTGTGATAACCCTTGGATTGAGTAAGATAACGCAATTTTGTGATATAACATTTTAAAGGAGGATTAAATAGTTACTACCTTTCCACTTGGAGTGGAACATGATAAATTTTGTATAGGTACATACTTGAGTTCTATTTTTTAAATTAAAAGTTACGAAATCTTGAAATTTTTTAAAAGGAGTTTTATGCAATTATTGCTACTTAAATGCTTCATATCATTTTTGAAAGTACATATTTCTTAGAATTAAACTTGGCGTCAGTTATTGATATCAAATCTTTTATACAAATGATGTATTTTATACATATGATTAGAATTGTGCCAAGTGTGGAGTAACGAATTGGCGAAGGAAGGCAAAGGCGGACGGACAAACAAAAAAAAGAGTCTCGTGATTGCACGAAAACTGTTGCACATATATTTTTATTTTTTACATATATATTTGTTATATTGTACAATATATTTTTCATATATAGTATATATATTTTATATGTAGTATATACTACATATATTTTATATATATAATATATATAATCTCTCTTGTAGGACACACAAATATGGAACTATGGATTTTGTTTCTACTTATAAATTCATCCATTATAGCTTTTAAATTAAGATTTTGTACGACATCTAAATGAATATGCAGAACATCCGTATTTAACAAAATTGAAAGCATCGTATATAGAACGTAGATAAGTTTTTAATCTCCTAAGAGTCGAAAAAGATCTTTTCACAGTGCAGGATTGTAAGCAGGAGTTTTATTATTTTTGTATATTCTGATATAATTTTTCTCACGGCTATATCTTTTTTCAAAAAATTAACGGCATTTTTTAAATTATTTTAAATATATATGCTTTATTTTCTTGGCCTCCACTATATTATAAAATATCGTTCGATGTAGTTTTAACTGCGCTTGATTTAGCGCAGAGACACTACCAGTGTCTCCAGATTTGCTCCTGTTAAAATCGGTTTTATATATTGTAATAATGCAATCAATGTCACTTTCGTTTCGTCGAAGCGCTACATCTGGGCACTAATGAAATACCGGTCGACGGTCGTGAAAGAGGTAACCGTCGATCGAGTTGTAAACACGCAACTTTTCGTATATAGTTTAATCAACTTTTATTTTTAATAAATATTAAATAATAAATTATTTCGTCAAAAAATAATTTATATATTCTTCGGATTTTCAAGTGTGGAATTCCACAGATGAAAAATTTCAAGTATGGAATACTCCATATCAACCACACTATAGTCGATGTTCAGACAGCATATGTATATTTGATGACTTAGAGCCCAGACGCAAGCTTTTGCATAACGCATAGCGTATAGTGCATAAGAGAATCAATCGATCGAAATTCTTCTTTTCCATGGAATGGAAGGAAAGGAAAGATTCTGATTAGTTGATTCATTTATGCACTATGCATTATGCTTTATGCAAAAGTCTGTGTCGCGGCCTTTAAGCATGTCGCACATGAAATGCATAACAGAGCATAAGCATAACATAAGACTGCTGGACCAATGAGCATCCAGCATAATGTCGCCATATTGATTTACATAAGATGCTCATTGGTTCAGCGGCCTTATGCTATGATAATATAGCTTATGTCATTTTATGTGTGATGGTCCTTATTCTTTCCTTTTTAAAAAAAAAGTTACATATCATTTAAATTCTTTTCATAGTGTGACTTTTTTGTTCGGGCAGCGCACCTACTACAGAGTTGCCACAGACCTTGAAAACCGAAAAAAGTCAGGGAAATTGAAATTGGTCATGGAAAACCGGGAAAAGTCAGAAAAAATGTAAAAGAGACTGGAATTTTGAACTTTGCTCACCTTTCTCTTAAACTGCTCTTATTTCAAATAATTTGTATTAGCGAATTAGAAATTTTCATGATCGGCATTCAAACAAGGTCTGTCGAATAAGATAATTACTAATTTCTCCTTGTTATTGTTTCACTCGAAATTTATTGTTATTAATAAGAAAACATGATATTATTTATATACTTCGAAAAAGCCTATAGTAGCATTATTTTTATTTTTATTATTTTATTTTTATTTTTTTAATTTTTTTTTTAGTTTTCTTAATCGTCGTTGATTTTAAATGTTAAAATTTTATATATTTTTTATTTTGTTAAAATTTTTATATATTTTATATTGGTCATGGAAATTTTCCATTTTTATTTGGAAAACCTGGAAAAGTCAGGGAATTTTAAAATTCATTTTCTGTGGCAACCCTGTAATAATATATTTGACGCCTTATTTTTTCGTTTTTTAGAATAGTAATTTTGTAACATAATATATTATAGGACCGTACATGTGATAACACAAACTATAGAAATCAAAGCCCTTACACGGTCTAGCTGGATCTTAATGCTTGTATGATTCTTATGTGAATTTATATACTACGTATGTAGTCCCACAGAAACGCGCGCCGAAAAATTTCCGGTCTTGAAACGCTAACTCTACTAAACTACCGCAGTAATATCACGAGTTAAATTGACTAATAATTTAACAAATTTTTGATGCTTATTCGCATCTTCGAAACGATCTTAATAATGATGAATAATATATTAAAATCTGTAAATAATTAATTCTTATTGCGAAAAAATA